TTTCAAGGGGGATACCAGGAGTTTAGACTATTAGCTCATTTAGTCTTTGAACTTTTCAAGCGCGCACATTTCGGGGCGGGTTCAAGAGATTTGCCCAGGACTACTTAGCAATCAGCTCAAAACAGCTGGAAGACTCGGCTTGTGTGCGCTTTCTCTGATGGTATGGTCCCCCTTAAGTAGATAGAATATTGCTTTGGGTATATTATAGTAGATCCCCATATACCCCATATTCTGTCAATTAAGGGGGACCCTAAACCCTAAACCCGTAATAGCAGCTTTCTTTTTCTTTTCCATAATTCCCATATAACCCCCATATTCTATCTACTTAAAGTGGGACTATACCCTAAACCCTAAACACTATATACCCCATATTCTATCTACTTGGGACTGTAAGGTCAGCCGCAATGCTCAGAGCACAACCAGCGGCAGCTTGATTGAGTGGGATCTCTGGGAGGGCCTGGAGAACGACCAGATGAAGGGCATCTCGCTTGGTTTGGTATATTTTCGTACAGGTTAGTATATTATAAGATGTTATAGTATATTTTAGTATATTACAGTATATTAAAATGTGTTATGTATATTTTCGTATATTATAACGCATTATGGTATATCAAAGTCGTGTATTATAGTATATTGTAGTATATTATAATGTATGCTTGTAAACTATAGTTTACTATAGTATATTACAGTAGATTGCAGTATATTAGTATAGTATATTATAGTAGGTTATCGTTTTTTTTAAATATATTATAGTATACTGTGGTATATTATAGGGTTAGGGCATCCTGGGGTCATGAACTGTCACAACTTGCCCTGAAGATCCGCCCCACTCCTTGATCCGAAGAGTAACAAGAGTTTTTGGTGCGGGGCCGCAGTGCTCCCAACTCCAAGTTACCATATTATGGGTCGGGTATATATATAGTTATTAATATGGTTTCCATTATAGGGGGCTAATATCCCTAAACCCCAAACCCTACCTGAAAGGCCTGTAACCGTTTCGGCGCAGGCTTTGGGGCCGTCCTCTGTGCCTGCCTTACGAGCGGCTTCGCGGGGGTCTGGATTCAGAAGCCTGCCTGCAAACGGAGGAGGCAAGACTCTGAAGTGAGCTTAAACGTGGGGGATATAAGGTTTGGGGTTTACTGTTTAGGGGTTTAGGGCTTGGGGTTTAGGGTTTAGGGGGATATAACTCAGTATAGAGCACTGATATAACCTGCTATATAATCCCCCATAACCCCCCTATATAGCCCGCGATATAATCTCCTATATAGCCCCATCAGAGCTGAGTGCAGAGGAACATCAGAGCTTAGGAAGATGCTTCAGCAGACGCAAGCTTCAGCTCCTAAGCGGCAAAAAACAAGGTCATCTTGGCCCCTTACGGAAACGGAGAGCTTGTATAAGGCTATACACCATCTTCAAAAGTCTTGGAATACACAAATCCCCCGAGCCTTCAATCCGCAATCTTCATCGCTAGGCAGCTTAAATTCTGCTTCCTTCATGCAACAGGCCTAGCCTAGACTCTAAAGCTCTAAGCCCTTACTTTAACCTACACCCCAAGCCCCTAAACCCCAAAGCACCATTTACAGGCTTTAGTTTAGGATTCTTGGGAAGCATATAGGGCTGCTATAGGGGATGATATGGGTGCGAGTAGTACTGTCTGTTATCTTTACTAGGGGTAGTAGGGAACAAGGGAATACATTGTAGAGGGATTATATGCGGATCTCCCTTAATAACCCCTATAGTAGTCCCCTACTAACCTCCAGTACGTATCCTTCTTGGGAAGTAGCAAGCCGTTGTCTCCTGAGTAGTAAATATTTGGGGATACTATGGTACTCAATACAGTGTAAGATTATATCCGCCTTTTGGGTATAGTGTTCTTTTAAAGACTATTATCTTGCTGGGTTCAACCCCCTAAACCCAAACCCAAACCCAAAACCCTAAATCTTAGACCACCCGAAAAACACTACTCTCCCGAGATTTGGATGCGGAATGTCCAGCTTGGCCTCTTCGGCGCCTGCAACAGCCTTGTCGTGGCGGCCCCTTGGACTATTGTTATCCTAATTAATCCTATTCTTCTGATTGGTTTTGCTAGTATTATGATTACTATGATTGTTATCATTATCATTGGTATTACCGGTATTATTTCTACTGCTATTATTTAGAGTCCCAGACAAGCTGATCCTGTAGGTAGGATTCTTCCACGCAAGGTACCACATTCGGAGACCCGGAAGCCTGAAGCTCAGGTGGCGCAGGATGGCGAGATCATCATGAATAGAGGCTTCCACACAGGCCTCGAGCCTCGAACTTCTGCCAAGTACAAAGTGTTTTTCAGAGTAACAACGAGAGGAAGAGGGACCCTCTGCAGGATACAACATCCGTGTGCTCCTGGTCATTGGTATGAACGCTTTCGGCGGCCTGCTTTGTGCCGTGATGCTGAAGTATGCAGGACGCGCAGGGGTGCAACTCCAGAGATTTGTGTTTACCTGGTTTCGGCAGTGTTCTCATTGCTGCCAAAGTCCGACTGTGGGATCAGTCCACTTCGTTACATCGGAAAGGCCGGAAACTGGCAAGACGGGTATAGTCCCCCTTAATTAAGTAGATAGAATATGGGGTGTATGGGGATCATTATAATATAGCCGAAGCCATATTCTATCTGCCTAAGGGGGACTGTACCCAGGAGCAACGCATGGATGTTTCAGCACGGCCCTGTCCATCATCCTCACATGCATCATGCCTGGTGCTCAGAGTGGTACACCCCCCTAGGACAGCCACATGTCGTCACTTGTTTGGGTAGTTCCCAAAATTAGGGGTACCTTTTTGGGGGTACCCATGATATGGACTAAGTATATTGGGGTCTATACTTGGCCCCGTTATTTTGGGAAACTACCATTTCACAGGCATTTCCATGCAAAAGGGTTCGACCACATTCGACCTCCCGAGGTCGTCCATCGTGCTGCATGACTTTACGCCTGATTTTTTGTTTGTGGTTGGCACCGCGATCTCTGTAGGTGCTTCCTTCCTTTTCGCTTTAGGGCTGCCGAAAAGTTGCAGCGTAGCATTATAGGTCTCTTTCGGGGTCGACCATAAAAGTAAACGGGGTTTATATGGAGGTCCCTCTTTGCCGCTTTGTATGGAAGGCCTAGACCCTTAATTCTGTTTATCGAAAATGGTTTCACTCAAAATGAGCTTTGCTTCGAAAACACTTCGACGCTCTCACTTCACGAGTGGACAAAGAGCCCTCAAGCGTTAGAACATCGTATGACCGCCTGAACAGCGCAAGAAACTAGGTTTCCCAGTACTGCCCTTTTGCCCTTTTTTACTTTGGGGTCTCCTTATGAAAGCTGACCAGTAGGAAAGAGGGTACCCTTATTATCAATGGATTTAATGGGTTACTAGGGAACCTAGGAAATGTGGGGCGTGTTCGTTTGCTGCTTCTATGCCTCATCACTGTTCGCCTCAGTAGTTGCACCGAGCAGAGTAGGAAATGCACATTTGCAAAAGCTTAGAGCCATAATGTAGACCCATGATTAATAAAAGGTATATCGGGGTTATATAGGGATAATGGAAAAGAAAATGGAAAGTACTATTTATGGTTTAGGGTTTGGGGTTGTGGACCCCTGACTAATAAACCCCCACCTTCTAAGGGCCTTAATTGTAGGATCCCTAGAATAATCCCCTTGTTGGGCCAAGCATTGGCTGTTTGAATGATTGCCTGGCATGTTTTGGAGCTTCGACCCCTTGGCCGTGCATTATTGCATTACCTTCGGACTCATCCGGTGGAGAAAAGGTCCGAAAAAAAATGAAGAAAAAACAGACATTATTACCACTATTATTCTTATTATGATTACTATAATTACTATTCGTAATATTGCTATTATTACTATTGTTTCTATTGTTATTACCATTGTGACTCTTATTACTACTACTATTACTATCCAGTATTCCCATTGTTGCTGTTATTACTATGTTGTGGCTCTTTCAGGTTGGCTTTTGGTGAGTTCTGCGATGCCCTGCGGCGTCCGGTGCCCCAGCCAAGGGCAGCTTGTGGGTAACAATAATAAGAATGATAATCATCACAATAATAATAACAGATAGTTGAAATAGTAATAGTAGTAACAACAGAAATAACACCTAATATCAGTAATAGTTGTAATAGCAATATTAGCAGTAATAGTGATAACAGCAAGAGTAGTAACAATATCAATCATAGCAATCATAGTAAATAGTAATGAAAGGTAATCGGTAACAATAGCAATAATGATCAACAGCCCCTGCACTTGGGTCTGATGGGCTTGAGGAATTGGCAGCAATGCCCTAAGATGCGCAATGTGAGTTTTCCACGATGTCATGGACGGGAGTTTTTTCACCTCGATGCTGGAAGGTGGCTAGCGGCTACAGATTCTTTCTTTCTTGAATCTTACACGGTGGTACCTGATACAGAAGTGAGGACTTGGGTATGCCGGAGAGTTCAAGTCCCTGTTCAAGGAGTACGACAGGGACCAGAAAGGCCCGCCCTCGCACAGTTTCTTGCGCTTTCATACACAACTGAGGAGGGATGGTGGTTGAGATGAAGGGTTATCTGACTCGACAGTGCAAGTGCATGGGTTCTTCATTGGTCAAGATTCTCCCAAGGGCAGCTATGCCAGATGATTGAATGGTGATCTAGCCCTGCACGTCAAACAGGAAGACTCCATGAGACCACCAGGCTACATTTGCCTCGCCGACCTGGACCCAGAAGCGGATCTCTTGGTGTGGACCTAAGTCCACCTGACGGATGAAGGAGCTTTCCAAAAACGACTTGCTGAAGAGATAACGTTATCCAGGGCCCATCGGAATTTCACGTTATGAGAGCCCAAATGTGGGGGTTTCCAAAATTAGTGGTACCTTTTTGGGGGGGTACCTCGAATGAGGACTGTATCAAGTTGGGGTCTTTACTGGGGTCCCCCTACTTATGGAAACTACCATTTATGGGATCCCAGCCCTTAATCCTAAACCGCGTGGTTGAGGTCTCTGACTTCTTGGATTTACTGGGCGAGCGCTTCGGTACTTTGGACCTGGCCTGGCGGGACCCAAGCCTTCATGGATTTTGGGGCGTTGGTTTTCGGGTTTTGGATATAGGGTTTAGGGTTCAGGGTTTTGGATTCAGGGTTGGGGGATAGATGGGCATTGGAAAGCGTTTTAATGCCTCTGAAGACGGACCGTGCAAGGGGAGGTCGCAAGGCAATTTGACAAGTGTAGCAATGCCAAAGCTCTGTGGAACAGAGCTGTGACAAACGCCCTAGTCTCTTATCATTTCCGTTTTCTGTTCTGATCGGATTCCCTCTAAACCCTAAACCCTAAACCCTACACCCTAAACCCTGAACCCTAAACCCTAAACCCTGAACCCTAAACCCTAAACCGCGAGGACGGCTTCCACCAGGATCCCCATGGCAGCATTACGAAGAAGGATGTCATGGAGGCCATTGGCTTGGTTTGGCAGTGTAGCTCTTTTGGATAACCTTACATGTGAGCTATAGTATCAACTCCTTAAAGGGGGTTACATAGGGTTTAGGGTCTAGGGTTTAACTTAAACTACTCGAAGGGGGCTATATAGGGGGTTACATAGGGGAGTATTAAGGCGGATACTTGGAGTTTAGACTATGGCTCACGTAGTTTTGAAGAGGTCCCAGGCTGTATCATCCCTGTATATCAGTTATTATGAGAGACCCCTCATTCCATTCCATGACTGAGCACACCCTACACCCGAAACTAAACCCTAAACCGTGAACCCTAAACCCCCAAACCATAAACTAAACCCTAAACCCTAAACTAAACCCTCAACCCCTAAACCCTAAACTGAACCCTAAACCCTCAGATGGCAGTAGAAAGAGCCAGCCGTCAGGCGTGCGCTGCACTAGGCTATGCACATGATGCTGAGAAGCTCTACAGATGCCTGTGCGCGCCTCGAGCTTCAAAGCTCTTTGCAGACATCGGGTAGTTTTCCCAAAGATAGGGTTTAGGGTTTGGGGTTTAGGGTTTGGGTTTAGGGATATAAAATAGATATGGGGATTCTAGGGTATATATTATTGGGGTTCTATAGGGTAATGGAAAAGAAAATGGAAACTACTACAATGGGGTTAGGTGGTAGTTTCCCAAAATGGGGGGACCCCAATATAGACCCCAAAATATTATAACCCTTACTAGGGGACCGTCCAATGAGGCACCCTTAATTTAGGGAAACACCCATCGCTGCTTTTCAGAAAGCGCAGTCAAAACCCTAAACCCTAAACCCTTATACCCTAAACCCTAAACCCTAAACCCCTAAACCCTAAACCCCTAAACCTTAAACCCAGAGGCAGACCTCGCCCGGCAAGCAGCTGATTACCATTTGGGATATCGACCCGGCCTGCAGCCACAGCCTCAATTAAGATACTATGGGTTAGGGTTTAGGGTTAAAGGTTTAGGGTTTAGGGTTTGGGGGTTTAGGGTTTAGTTCCCAAAACTAGCCTCAATTTAAGTAGTATTTTATTTGGGGATACTGTGGTACCCAATAATATAGGGTTTAGAATCAAATGGAAAAGAAAATGGAAAATGAAATGGAAACTGGGATTATATAGGGGTTGTTTGTGTAGTATTTTATTTGGGGATACTATGTTACCCAATATAGAGTAGGATTCTATCCTCCTTTTGGGGTATAGTATTCTATATAAGGAATATAATCTTACTAGCTTTAACCACCAAAAAAACACTACTCAATTTGGGTAGTTCCCAAAACTAGGGTCCCATTTTGGTCCCTTTATAGGGGGATTTAGGGGTTATAGAGGGGTATATGAGGTTTAGGGCTGAGGTTAGTTCCCAAGATTAGAGTCCTATTTTGGTACCCCTACATATTAGGTGCCGTAATATCATCTGTAACCAGAAGGGGTCCATAATTCTGAGAACAAACCATTTGGATGCAATTTTCTACCATGGCAACGGCATGCTTTGAGTTGCTATGATCTTGCCTTATGTTCACTTCCAGGCAAGGGATATGGGAGTTGCTCAAAACTATCCCCCCATACGGACCCCCATACCCTAAACCCTACGCCCTAAACCCCTAAACCCTTATAATCCCTATGCATTTCTAGGGTCCCTAAGGGACCTAGTCTTGAGAAACTCTCATATCAGATGATGGTACAAGCCAAGGCCGAACACGCAAGCGCGGCTTTGAGGTGGGTCACTGAGTGAGCCGTTCTTGTGACCATTGCAAAGATCCTTGCTGAGTCAGCCTGGTGTTTTTCACGGATTTAGTACAATGTGGCACAGCCTGCTCAGTAAAAACCTAAAAGAACACTGCAGCAAGCTGAGACTATTCTACAGGTGCACTCCAGTTCTCACGTAAGGACGGTGGCCCTCTTTCAAGAGCTTAAGTCGCCTCAGTCCGTGATCGGGTGCTTTGCACTTTCGGTTGATTTTAAATTGGAATTCCTGCGCACTGATAGGGTCATTTTATGATTTTGTTAACGTGTCACAGCACTGACTCCAGGATTCAAGCGTTGGGGTTTCTTGAGTGTAGGCAGGCTGAGTTCACAAGCAATACTTCAACCAGACGTTCAGCACCCATTGACCCGTTACTTGGATTAATCCACGGATGAGGGTAGAGGGTATGGCTGCTGCTGAAGGGCATTTGGCATTGTCGTGGGTGCTTCCATGTTTGCAGCAACGTCACTCTGAACGGTTGCTGTTGATCCACCAGGACAACTTGTAGCCATGGCTTCTCCTGATGAGCCCCGCGTCCGGCAGTTTTGTCAGGAGTTGGCGGCTGCAGGCGTCGCACGCAAAGATGCCCTTGAGGCCGTGGCTGCAGCGTGGCCTACAGCATCGGATGCGGACGCTCGACGTTCTGTGTGCATTCAAGTCCATGGACAAGTTTTTGAGGTGGTGCATGAAGAACGCGTGAAGGAGAGGTCTGACTATTTCCGAACCTTGCTGGACGGGCCTTTTCGTGAATCCCATATGTGTGTTCTCGATGTCTCTGAGCTTTTGCAAGCTGTCCAGAAAGTCAGCGACGCAGGTGCAAATGAGGATTGGGCCACAGGCGTCAAGCTTTTCCTAGATGTGGCAGAAGCTTCTGAGGCCGTGGCGGCACGAGCCCTCTTGCAAAACTCAGCGGATGTGTGCATGTGTCTGCGGCTCCTCTTGCTGACCGATTGTTTTGTGGCCCCCTCCATTGCACAGCTTTGCTTGGATGAGGCTTGTCAGAACAGGCAACATCAGCTGTTGCACGACTCCGCACCTGAGCGTGAGGCCTTGATTTGCGCGGTGCCTTGGGAGCTCATGGAACGGCTTTTAGCTGGCATGCCGAGCATGAAGCAGATCCTGAACTTGGCGGGAGTTTGGTCTCGCCCTGCGCCTGAAGCGCAATTTCAGCTGCGGGCCTTTCTTGCGTCCAGGTTGGCCTCGTCAAAATATTGTGGTGTCAATCGCAAGTTCTCTCGCTCAGCTTGTGCCATTTGATTAGTTCATTTATTCTAATAATGCATGTTGTTCTCATTGCAAGTCAGTTCGCGTTGCACATTCACCAAAGTCCTAAATGAAGAGACGGAAGTGAAGTGAATTTTTCAGTGGGACAGCAAGAACGAGCGAAGGGATTTTCATTCTGCTACTTGTTCAGACTTAATTAGATTAAGAGACATTCTACGTACGGTTGGGGTATGGGTTTAGGGTTTAGGGTATGGTTCCCTCATAAACTGGCGACCCTGTTGCAAAAGACCTCCTACCTGTCTAACACAAAGACCAATACCTGAGCGCCGCACTACTGTGGGGACCCGAACTGATCCCTGTAGACTTAATAAGCATCCCCAACTCCTGATCTTAACCCTCAACTCTAAACTCTAAACCCCTAAACAATATGTTCACCCAAAATATAAGGTCTCTGATGGGGATGGTTTGGTTTTAGGATTGCTGGAGGTGGTTAAGATTAGTTTAAGGGGATGAATTGGAACAGAGTTTTGGAGGTTGAGTGTTTACCTTAACCCACCACAACCTACTTTTGTGTAGGTTCCCTATACATTCTATACTACGGATTATAATAGGACCTACACAAAAAAAAGTAGGTTTTGGCAGGCTAAGGTAGGGTTTAGGATGAAAGGGAACAGTGTGTTGGGGGAATGCTGACCGAAGTCTGAATGTCGAAGGTGACAAGCACAGTACAGGAAGTCATGTTATACCTAGGTCAGACCATGTACCAGGCCTATGAAGGCATAGCTTGTTCGCAAAAAAACAAGACATGATACCTCGAAACCTTACGTAGTCGGAGCTTTTATTCTCCAGTGTCCATGTTCGTTTTCCATCGAACTCTGCATCAAATTAAGCGCTAAAGCCGGCTTCAGTCTTCAAACCCGTAAACCCCAAACCCCGTGCAATCGCAGACATAGCCTGACGAACAAGCTCGGCATGCTTCCCAGCAAGACACCTCACATCAGCCACAAACTCGACATGGTGCTTTCCATAGCAGGGGCAGGCCCATCTTGACCACCAAAACACTACAATCCTCTTTCTGTGGACAAAAAGGCAACTGATTCGTGGAAACACCTATCCAATTCATAGGTGGGGCCAGGGCCCACTCCAAACACTCAAGATTAGGGTGTAGGCTTAATAGGGTCTCTATCAGGATCCCAAAATAAGCTCATGAGCTTCCAAATCGCCATGATTCAGAGAGTGCATGGGTAGGTAGGTAGGTAGGTAGGTAGGTAACTAGGTAACTAGGTAGGTAGGTAGGTAGGTAGGTAGGTAGGTTGAAGAGCAAAAGCAGCAATAATACCACTACTACCCCAATAACAACAACAGCTACCACCATTACTACTACTACTACTAATAAGAATAATAATAATACGAATAATAATAATAGTAATAATGATAACCTCGCTGCAAGGTGCGCAGGCCATGCTGATGAGCTGGACTGGGAGAGAGACTGGCTGCCTTTGTGCAAAGAACATCCGCACTTGCTTGGCAGCCTCCCGCAGACGCGTGTAGCCTTTGAGCAGATACAAGAGTTTTTGGCGGGACTCCCGACCATGGTCGAGCACATGCTCGACCGCAACCTCCCGGGGATTGCTGACTCCCATCTCGGACATTACAAGGCAGGCACTGGGGCTGGGTGGTCATGTTGCGATGAAGTCAAGAAGCGGTCGTATGGTTGCTCTCTTGAAGTCAAGCGTGGGCCCTGGGCACTGCCGAGCCTGCCTGTCAGCTGCCCTGAGGGCCTCTACAGGAGTCTTCAAGAGAAAATTGAAGCAAAGATGCAAGCACTGGCAGATGCTTTGGAATCAGAACTTAAGACATTCCATGCGCGCAAGAGACAAAACGGCAACACCATGGGTGCAGAGGCACTGTCGAGGACAGAGCAGGAGTCCTTTACATGCCTGTAAGCTGCCACGACCTTTGTCCAGGAGTAGTGTGGGCTAACCGGCTAACGAAGGCACAGCACAGAGTTTGCTCGTTTGCTCATCTTTTGGCATTTATCTGAGGATACCTTCCGTTCAGTGGTTTGATTGAGAATGCGGCTTGCATGCTTATCGTCATTTCCATCCCTTGACGAGGTCGTGATGTGTTTGTACCAAACTTGTCATTTTGCCAATCCAATCGCAAGAGGGCAGGCCATATTGAAGCTCAGGGCATATGAGTCTTGCCAAGAAGCAGCATTTTTGAGGATGTTGATGTTGCTCACCCAAGTTCCGTTTGGAGACATAACATGATGGTTCCTCCTGCGCCTGCTTTTATCTGGCTCAGGCGATCATCCCAAGTGCACCTGGCAAAGTCAGTTTGGTTTCGGGGTTCGCGTTTTTGCAATTGTGGGGATGGCTGTGTGACAGTTGGGGAGTGCAGCGTGCAGGGTTATCAGAGTAGATACAAGCATCCAGCTGCCGAAAGCGCGTATATAATTGTTTCAGTCCGATCAGCGTTGTTTATCAGCTTTGTCAACATCTTCTTCTGCCAGGTGCGCCAAGGCCCCTGAGCCCGACTGCTCGGGGCAACGAGGCTCACACCTTCTTCCTGGAGGCAAGGGCTCTCTCTACGTGCCTTGAAATCTAAGGTTGGGCCCCTAAATTGCGCCCTCAGCATTTTTAGGGTGGTTCTGTGACATATGGGCGCCGGGTGTGAGTGTGTGTTTGTACATGTATGTGTACGTGTACATGTACGACATGTGTAATAATGTATATGTACATGTATATGTATACATGAGGTATGTACGAGATATATGGAGACCCCAGGGCTACCGCCCACATAAGGAGCCCATGCTTTGATTGTTCTGGCTTTCCCTGCGAGGACGGCTCGCCATCTTCCAGGACAAGATTTTTTTCTGTAGGGTTTAGGATTAGGGGTTTAGGGTTAAGGGTTTAGGTCCCTGGGTTTGGATCCCTAGACCATGGAATTAGACATTAGATGGCGTATCGGGGACCAGAAACCAGAGATTCAAACCTGAAGGGTACAAACTGAAGGGCCTGGAAAGTTGTGAGAGATTGATGGAGTTCTAATCGCATTAGTCCTTGTGACTTTATCTGGGATGCTGGTAGCGGGCTTTCTTTTTGCCACTGATCGCGAAGCTGCTTGACACATGCGCTAGGCCTGTTGTCTGATAGGTGACTAAATTTTGCGCCTTCTCGTTTGTAGACTCTGAAGCCGTAATTCAGGAATGCCATGCGGAAAACCTTCCACACCTTTAGCAGAACGGCTCTCAGACATGTTCTGCCAAGAGCCTGCTCAATGATTCCATCAAAGAAGGGAAGACCTGAGCTGTCGGCAGTCTGTTTTGTGTGATGCTTTTGTTCATAGGCAGGGGTCTGAATGCAGAGGATATTGGTAGCAATGGCCACGTGGATCACAACCCTAATTTTGAGCAGTTCCCAGTTGAGATGGTAGGTATCTTTTCGAGTTGCCCATCAGGTCCACCTTTGCAGCAGCAGTTCCGACGATGCTTGCGCGCACGATGGGGCTCCACGGTGGCGCTGGGGAAGACAAAGTGCTAGGTGATACTGAATGATGCGGATGTGCACGCTTTTGCATGCAGATACATCATTTCACCTGGCAGCATGGCCAAGATTTGACCTTAATGTCGCATCTGACTTCTCCGGCAATTTAGTTGCTTCAGATTTTGCCCCCTTTGCTCTCATTTCAAATCTGTTCCACGTGGTGTCGAGTTCAGGGGTTGGTGTGGTGTTTTGTATTTGGGTTTAGGGTTCTCGTCCAGTACAGCAACTGGTGCAGAGATCTGACCGGATGGCAGTGTGTCTTGGGTTGATGTGCTTGAAGTCGTCAGGGGTTAACGTCATTTGGAGTTGTGAGATTGTTGACATAAGAGATACGAAACACTAGTACAGACCCTCTTACATAAGGATATACAAGCACCAGTGTATGTTATGTATACGAAAAATAGAAAAGTATGAAGATAAATATACATGTAAATACATATATATATATATATGTATATATCTATATTCGTATATATATATATATCTACACACATTTACAAATGGACACAATGCATGTTCTGATGCACAGCAAAGCCTCCTGACTCTTTAACCCGCCGCATCTGAAAACAAAGCGGCGTACCACTAAGAGCTGAGAAATTCACTGCGTTCATTTTCGCCTGGTGCAGGTGGCAGGGTGGAGGTTTTCCCTGGATCCACAGCTCCATGCCGGGGTCTTGGCAGTTTGGGGATTCGAATGCTAACAGCTGAAGTGCGTGTTTTGTTTGGAATTTTGGGCGGAAGGTATGGAGGCACCGCAATTCTTGGGATTATCCGTGCGCAAGTCTCTGCGCGGTTTACGCTTCCTTGTAGCAATGCCTGGATTCGGTGATCACTTCTTACACAGATTCCAGTTAAAGCCTTGTAAAACGCGAAAGACGGCTGACGACGTTGCCCCAAATCAACGAGGCAGATTCCTACTGAGAAGTCCTTGGATAACTTCGCGAACCCCTACAAGAATCATTACAATCCTAATAAGCCCTACCAAGATTTTCATACTTCTGATCAAAACTGAACCACAAACTGCACCCTACACTACACCTGAATCAAACCTATAAGCCCTGCACCACTGTTCTGTGCGCAGGGCAGCTGCGGCTTTGGGATGTTCATGAAAGCTCTGGAGGAGACATGTGTTTTTGGTTTAAGGGGCTTGTAGTAACGGTGACAATCACGAATCATACTCTGGCTTTTGTACGGGCATATACAGGTTCATATGAGCCAGTGTCTAAACTCCTAGTATCCCCTTCAATAAGCCCCATGGTAGTCCCCTATATAATGCCCTATAGAACCCCCTTTAAGGAGTTTAGACTGTAGCTCATATGAGGAGAAGGGACATGTCACCGTCGGGATGGTTCTCACGAAGTGTAAGGCTGGCCTCGAAGCCATTGCAAGTCATGTCAGTGTACAAGGTATGTTCCTGTTGTTACAACAACATGGCCATCGTAACAGGGGTGATGATTTCAGTGTCCACGATGATTTGTGTGGCTTCCTCTCATTCACCTTGTTATGATCATTGTTACTGTTGTGATGGCGACTATCGTGATGACTGCGAGTATGAGCTCTGTCTCGACCGTGCCTCGGCTCCTGGTATCGACAATGGATTTGTATGCTGAGGGGGGAAGGAGCTAAGGAGGAAGGGCATCTTTTCTGAGACCCTGTTCATTCTGTGGCTTCGAAATTCTCAGATGACCTGGAGTCCCTCCTAAAGTATACTCGCATACCTTCGAAGGGGGTTGCTAAATTAATAAACCCCCTCCCCTTAATAGGGATTAGAATAGGGATCCACATCTTAAGGCCCTTAAAAGGAGGGGGGTCATAAGTCAGGAGTCTACATTCCCTGAAGCCTAAACCCTAGACCCTTAACCCGAGATCCTGAACCCTAAACCCTAGACCCTAAACCCTTCGATCTGCAGAGGTCGAAAAGAGCGCTTAAACAAAAACAAGACCCTAAACCCCAGACCCTAAACCCTAGAATAGGGGTCTTCCTTAATCCCTAAACCCTATATGTCCCTATATAACTATATATAACTCCTATACAGCCCTATAGAATCCCTATATAGCCCCCTTGAAGGAGTGCGCCTTTGGCGGCAAGCCCCGGGCACTGTGGGATGAACTCAGTGGTCAGCTCAGACTCCAAGGATGGCGCTCTCCTGGTGGCCTATACATATATGAGCTATCGTCTTCCTTAAAGGGGATTATATAGGGATTATATAGGGTTATATAGGGATTCTATATGGTTATATAGGGACATGTAGGGTTTAGGGTTTAGGGTCAAACATCCAGGGGATTATTTTAAGGGTTATTAAGTGGGATACCAGGAGTGTAGAATATAGTTCATATGTCTTTGTTGGAAGTAGGGATCAGGGCTACTGTCAGAGAGGATATTTTGTTTGTTTATCCACACTGGCGACTGGCGACCCTTGTTTTTGAAACATCCATACAGAATATAGGATTGTAAGGATCTTAGGTATGAGTTGTTCTGGTTGTTATCTTCAAGGGAGTTGACACGGAACCTGATGCGAATTTACCCAAAGCATGAGCATCTGTGTACCTTCTGACAGCGGCGCCCTCGGATCTCAACAAAATAGCGACCGTTCTCATGATTATACAATCCATATAGTCACCTATATAAGTTTCCATTTCATTTTCCATTTGATTCTCCATAATTTTATTTGATTCCCCCTTACAGCGGATGATTTTTCTGGATCTGCTAGCAGCTGTGGACTGACCAGCTGGTCTTCGACATATCCCCGACTTGCTGAACTTCAACCTAAGGTACCCTAAACCCTAAACCGTAAGCCCTAAACCAAGCAAGGTGAGCAGTATTTTATTTGGGGATACTATGGTACCCAATATAGAGTAAGATTATATCCTCCTTTTGGGGTATAGTATTTTTTAACATAAGGAATATTATCTTACTAGGTTCAACCACCAAAAAAACACTACTCAATTTGGGTAGTTCCCAAAACTAGGGTCCCATTTTGGTCCCTTTATAGGGGGATTTAGGGGTTATATAGGGGTATATTACCAAAATAAGCACTATTCAGGTGGGGAGAACAACTCCATGACTTTTCGGGATCTCGATGAGCCAGCAGCCAGGCAGGCTCTGGGAGACTGACGTGGGCTGTGGAGATAGCCAGGAAGTGCCATAGACTGCTATAATTCCTATTTTCCATATTATTACTATTACTTCTTACCAGTATGATTATCATTAGTCTTATTATTGTTACTATGATTGGTATTACTAGTATGCCTATTCTTGTTATTAGGACTGCTAGGCTTATTATTAGCATTCTTACTACCTTTCGTGTTCGTATGATTACATGAGTATTATTAGCTCTCCTTGCGTTGCGTCGCCAGCCTTTTGGACTCCTTCCGGGAGCAACTTGTGGACCACTTTGGGTCCATCATGGATGCTCGGCCCCAAGCTGCCTGTAGGGGTTTACATACTGCCCCCACTCATTAAGGAACTCTAAACCCTAAACCCTGAACCAAACCCTAAACCCTAGACCCTGAACCCTGAACCCTGAACCCTAAACCCTATAAACTTTAAAGCGCGTGGGGGCAGGACCCAATGTAGGGGACCTAGAGGAGATACCTGCGGCTGAGAAGCCAGGCGTGGTCAGAGCTGGAAGCAGCAGGTCGAGGCTTGCTTGACGAGGAGCTTTAAGGTTGAGGGGTTTAGGGTTTAAGGGTTTAGGGTTTAAGGGTTTAGGGTTTAAGGGTTTAAGGTTTAGGGGTTTAGGGTTGTGTTTAGGGGTTTAAGGTTTAAGGATTTAAGGGCTTAGGGTTTTAGGGTTTAGAGCCGAGAGCTGAATTCGAAGTAACAGTCACAAGCGATGTCCTTGAGGAGACATTCGTCAGCATCCTCCCCGAAATGGGTCTAGCCGTCAAGCACCCCAAGAAGCTTTTCAAGGCCTGGTCTGGTTCCAACCATACATGAGGGTTTCCCAAAAGTAGGGGTATCTTTTTGGAGGTCCCCATAATAAGGGCTATAGTATTTGGGGGTCTATATTGGGGTACCCTAACTAATTATGGGAAACTACCACATAGGAGACAAGGAGCTTTTGAGAACTCTACATAGTTTCATGTTTGATGCGTTTGGTCAGTCTCCAGGCACTGAGCCATGAACACCTGTCTTCCGATCACTTCTAGGATTGCAGCACTACATCATACTCCTGGATGCCGTGTGCAGACTGCTGGTGCTGTCGTAGAACTTAACCTGAAATCAAGTCCTGCAGTTGCTTCTGTCGCGGCATGGCCAGCGTTCACTGGCCCACGAGGCACGCGTAGTGGTGGTAGTGAGAGGGTTTACAAAGCGTGACTGCGACGTGCTATTGTGTGCCTGTCATTTCCCGCAGGGCTTCCAAGCGCTACTGATCGGTGTTCCTCCAACAGAGCAGCGCGGCCTCTGGGCCTCGCGCAAGCCGAGGCCCGCACTGCGGTTACAGTTCCTCGGTGAGCAAGTGAGCAAGCGATGCAACGGACCGTCAAGCTGGCTTTATGACAGGAAGGCCGACAGCGAGCAGAAGGGAGACGCTTCGCCCAAGCGCAAGGGTGAGCAGAAAGCAGATGCTTCGCCGAAGCGCAAGGCTGCAACAGCTTGGGAGGGCGCTAGGTTGCACGGGCTTCAGGCTCTTGGATTCATGAAGATGGCACTGGGCTCGAGAAGTTTCAACTTGCTGTGGGCTGTGGTGAGCTTTCACCTGGACCAGGCAGCACCCAAGGCAGTGACTGCGAGGCAGGCCTCTTGAAGCCGAAGTGAATCCAAACAGGTCATGCTTGTCATGCCAGGCCAGACAGACCAACACCTTCAAAAGCGGTGCCCGCTGAAGAGGCTTTGGGCACAAAGCGATCTGTACAGTCAGTTCTTCACAGCCACCGTTATTGCTTCGCATCTGTGTGATTGGTTTCAGGCGCAGAATTCTGCACAGTCTCATGTGCAGCCTGATGCGCGGCCACCAAGGCGACTGCAGGATTGGCTAGATATCTTTGAGCAGTCGTTAAGCCAAGACTCCTTGTATGAACCTTCGCAATGCTTCGGAATGCAAATCCTGCAAAGGTGCGATGCTGCAGCCCATATGCAAAGCTATCCAAGCTGTTAAAGTTATGCATCAGCATCGTGTTCAAGGTTTGTTGCCTCAAGCTCAGATGTGCCTTCAGTGGCTTGTAGAGCATGCAGGGATGAAGCGGAGTCCACCCAAAGTGTGCCTGAGCTGCAATTAAATGGACGTCACCTGAGAGCAGCATCAGCAATTGTGATTGTAACGATGTTCTTCTTTGCTGCGCTTCCCAGCATTGTTCTGGATATCGAGAATGCCAAGATTCCACAAACTGTACTTAGGTCGGGTGCAGGTTCGAGGGCTCTCCTCAAGATGTTAGGATGACTGCAGTGAACCTTCAGACCAAGTTCTGCCTGACCATGTGCATTCTGACCAACAGAGAAAGACCTTGAGGCGAACGCTGCGAGCGTGAGGCAGGGAGCTGAGACCGACTATTTAGCGCTGTGTCGCTTGTTTGCTGGCTGGCTTGACTTCTGGGACACGCTTCAAGCCCTCTTCTCGCCAGCATGCATGTTGTCAGCTCATCGAGCATTTCGAAGCGCTTGGGAATGAATGACAGGAGCGAGTCGGAAAAGCCGAAGGCCGGGCTGTTGAGGAAGGGTGCAAGGAAAGGCCAGGGCAGAGCCAGTGATGGCAAGGATGCTGATGAACATTTTTCTGATTGCTCCGCGTTGCTGCCTGTACTTGATTGGTCAAGACTTAACAACTGCACCTGCTGAAGCCTGAGGCGGAAGTGCAGATCGTAGCCCCTGCGGAGAGCAAGGCCGTGCTGAGATCAAGTCACACTTGATATACCTTCAGCTGTTACACAACTGCATCCAACCGCATATGAGCTAGAGTCTAAACTCCTAAAAGGGGGTTATATAGGGATTACATAGGTGACTATCATAGGGGCTATCAAGGGAATACTAGGAGTTTAGACTCTGGCTCATAACTAAGCATGTTCATCTTATCATCCACTAAGCAAACATCGCACGGCTGGTTGAGTGGGTCCGATGTCTGGGCTGCAGGCCGATGAGGTGAACGCGGTTGAGCCGAGACAGACAGCCAGCAACTCAAGCGAGCCTGCAATGTTTCAGTGACAGCTGGATCCAGCTGGTATTATGATGTAGAATCAAGAAACAGACTAGCAACCGGGCATAGGTTGAAAGGTCTACCTCAATGTGATGAGTCAACGGAATGTCTGCCTGACAAGGCGCATTCAGTTGCTGTGCGTGCTGTCAGCTCAACAGTGGACAAGGTGGTTGCCCCCTCAGCATGCTGTGAGGCTGAATGGAGACCCAAGACCCAAGACTGGATTGTTGAGTCCGTAGGTCCTCAGTAGGTCGTACAGATCCCAAATCCTGTCTTCAAAGGCCGGAATGCTTTCTGCAGAAAAGCCGGAACAGGCTGGTGTCGAGCAGTGGCAGTCAGACTTGGTCCAGAGAATCACAATGTGTTGATAAACGCAAGCTGCCTGAATCCGAAGGAAAGCTTCCTGACAAGTGCTGGCAGGCTCCACGTGCGAAGGGCCTGGACTCTGCTGTGCGGAAAAAGGCTATTGGCGGACTCCTGAAGGCAGGGCTCTTTGGAGGTTTTTGGGCTGTTCATCAAAGGGATGCTGACTCTCACTAGCTTAAAAAATGACTGCAAAGCTAGGCAATTCAGAATAAGTGTATGGCTGTATGTGTATATGTATATCTATATGTATATACTTACTTACATATTCGTGATATCAAGCCTTGGACCATCTTGGACCCATCAACTGCGATTTCACGCTGCCCGGCTCCCCTAAAAACTTGACAACCTGAGAGGAGGGTCCGTTTTGGTGTGCTGTCTTGGGATCCCACGTCCGCTTTTCCGAGGCGGCAAAGACGGGGCACCTGGAAGCGTCCCTCCGCCAATTTGAAGAGACTGCGGAAGCAGCGGAGGCTAGACGGGGGGCAAGGGCGGATCATGAGATAAGCTATAGTCTAAACTCCTTAGAAGGGTTTATATAGGGGCTTGCATAGGGGACTACTATGGGGGTCATTTGGGGGGATACTAGGAGCTTAGACTATAGCTCAGATAGACAAGGAAGCGCTCAAGTAATAGCGAGGTTAGCCAACAGTCCACACTAGCTGCCGCTGTGGATGGCTTTCGCGATGCAGGGTTTAGGGTTTAGGGTTTTAGGGTTCACGGTTTAGGGTTTAGGGTCATGCTTGCCAAATATTAGTACTCCAGCTGTTATCGCTACACCTCAGTGTCCAAGTGAACCATATATACTTCAATTCTACCATATTATCACATAAGCCCTCATAACCCCTGTATAACCCTTCATAATTTATAACCGTATATAATCCTCTACAACCCCTTAATAGCCTTCCATAACTACCCTACATGTTCAGGAGCCTGCCATGACCTTGGAAGAGCTCCGGAGGCCGGCGACCTGATGTGAAATGGGCAGAACTGGGATCCCAACTGGTCAAGTCCCTTTAGGGCTTAGGGTTTAGCTCTTCTTTTTTTGGGGGTCTTTGCATTTCCTATGAACGACTGTTTCTTGCTAGGGTTTGTTACAGAGAAGACACGGCTGGGCTGCGAGGCAAGAGTAGGTCGTGTCTGGAAATTCGTGTTCTTGTTTCTTAAGGTCCCTGAAATCAGGATCTTGGCAGATCCCTTCACAAAACTGAGTACGAGCGGAAACTATACGGTTCCATGCCGCTGCCCGACCCTGGGCACTTTCATTTGCGTGACTTGCTCAACGCTCGGAAGCTGTGCACTTACATGCTCCTGGTAACTCCCATGCATCTGTGGGGTCCCCGAAGGTATCTTAGAATAAGAACCAACGTGCGTTGCAGAGGTCCCTGCTTCAGCGATATGGCTCCCTCGAGGAAGCCTGGAGACAAGGCTCGAAAAGGGTTTAGGCAACAGATCGAGGCCTGAAGCTGAGCCATGCACGTAGTCTTCCCGGTGATGCAATAGCACAGGGTGGTGGGGATGGTGGTGGTAGTGGTGGTGGTGGTGGTGGTGGTGGTGGTGGTGGTGGTGGGGTGTGCACCAGCACCATAGTCAGATAGTCCAAGAATCGTTTGCTTGCCAGTCTCAAGTTACTAGACTTGGGTCAAGCTTTTTACAAGAAGTTGCGGCTTTGCTGCTCATTTCGTGTGGCTCAAGTGTCTTTCTCTCCGTTACCAGTGGGCCCGGATGTATCGTTCTTCTGATTAGCAACGCAGACCAATCTAGATCTGCCAGCAAAACCGTGCCTGATAGATGGACGGCAAGCGGCTAGCACGATGTTACATGTCCCTACATGAAACACTTCTCATGTTCAAGAACCAGCCTGGTTTTTCATGTGGGCAAGGTTTCCGTAGCTCTTCGCCCGGCACACGGTTTGTCCAGGGCAGTTTCGCCACTCACCGCCATGGGTACTCCCTACAAAGATGTACAGAGGCCGAAGGGTCAGACACGGGTTGCGTGACATTTCCAGGGCCTTAGAATTTTCGCATTTTCGCCTGCCCTGAGGGAGACACCCTGGATCAGCCTGGTGAGAGGCCAGGATTTCAATGCAGACAGTCCAAACCTTGCAGCCCGAAAAGGCATGCCTGTGGGGTGACATGAGCTGTAGTCTCAACTCTAAGCAGGGTCTATGTAGGGGATTGTATAGGGTACTACTACAGGGATTACCAAGGGGGATACAAGGAGAATAGACGACAACATGCAAAAGAGGATTTTGATTTTGCGGCCAGACTTCATCGTGGATGATCCAGATGACGAGGGGCCATTCCGTGTGTGGCCGGACCCTGCCGACCCTGCTGATGTCGGTCTCGATGAGGAGTCGTCTTTTGGCGGGCTACTCTGCTGCAGCTCATCTGAGGCCACATTCATGTACCCATTGATGCTCCAAACAAGGAGCAGCGCATGGGAAGCATGTTGCTGATGCAGACTCCGACTGAGTTTATGCTGGGACCTCGTGAGATGCCAAGGCTATCTCAGCTGCCTTTGATCCCAATGCGACCATCGACCAAAGCTGTGCCCATCAGTCCTCGGTCCCTCGTCTGGCAGAAGCTCCTTGTGGTCACTTTAAGAGAGGGGAAGTCAATAGACGTCCCTGAAAGACACCTCAGCATGTGTCTATGTGTGTGCGCTGAAGCCCTCTGCTAAGGATGCAACGGCGCTCTTCTGCGAAAGTAGCTGAAGGCAGGACTTTTACCAGTCGCATGATTCACAGTTGGATGATTTCAACATATTTCAACAGGCGCTTCTGGGCATCTGCAAGCCGAGAGAGAGATGCCAGAATGAAAGAAAGAGAGGAAAAAAGAAAGAGGCCCAGCAGCGCACGGGAGCGATCCCAGGGTGTTTGCCTGCCTCAGTGCCCGAACGAAAGAAAGAAACAAAGAACGGCCTGACCATTTTCCGCAGATGTGAGGAAAAGGGAACGGAAAGACGGGGGGAGGAGAAGAAGATGCTGTTACTAACGTCTTTACAGTTCTCTTGGTACCGCGTCAGCTGCAGACTGAACCGTTCTGGGCTTAAGGTCTTCGGACCTTGCATAGCCTATAGAAGAAAGAAAGGAATAGAGAGCCCCTCGGGCCTGTAGAACATGGTGAATGAGAAAAGGAAGAAACAAAACCCTAGATTCAACCAAGAGATACTCTACACAGCACCTTCCTGAGCATATGGAGCCAGGGATAGTCAAACGCATACTCTTAAGCCTAAACTTAGGCCCTAAGCCCTTGACCCTAAACCCCTAAACCCTGAACCTTAAACCCTGAACCCTAAACCCTGCACCTTAAACAGACATCCGCAGGGGCAGCGAGGCGGTGGGCAAAGTGATTTGTTTTGTGCTGGTCGACCCCCAGGGCCCTGCTATAAGACTTAGGGTTCAGGGTATCGGGTTGAGGGTTTAGGGTTTAGGGTTGAGGGTTCAGGGATTTAGGGTTCTACCCTCCAAGTAGTACGGAAGGAAGCAAGAGACAGGGAGAGAGTGCATGGCAGAATCGTGGGATTAAGTCTTTGAGGGGTCTCGAATCTGCCACTGTGCCCATACCTGCATCGGTTCTCCGGGTGCTGACCAACGCGCGCCATGACCATTGGGTGGAGGGCTGGGCCCTGGGGGGGTAGTAGTACCCCCTTCCACCCGTAAAAAAAACAAGGGTGCATGGCCCCTGCTCTGGCATGACACGCTCAGAGCACACAGTGAAGAAGTGTGCAAATGCAAAGAAGAAGCATGAGGATGAGATGAGGAAGAAGTTTCAGAAGAAGCCTCAGAAGAAGCAGTACAAAGATAGAGGATGGAGACAGAAAGCGCCAGCACAACCTGTTCCTACCTATGCTTGAATCCACCCAACACAGGCATGGCACTCCCGCGGTGAGGGTCTCTCCCCACCTCTTCAAGGAATCAAACAAAAAGCTGAAGGGATGTCAACAGTGGGCTGGCTGACATCCAGTGTGCCCATCCCTTGGAGGATTGAGTATCTGTGTCCTTTGGGCAAAAGTGCGAGCCGGTACTGCCGAAGCATCCAGGAACTAGTACCTCCCTGAATGCAGGGCAATGCTACAACAACACGACGTTGTGACCTGGCATGGTATTGGAGAGCAGAATGAGCATGACAGGGGTAGTTCTCGAAATGAGACTTGTATCAAATCCTTGAAGTGCGCCTCTTCGATTTTCAATTCCAATCATTGCTTATCCTGATATCTCCACAAGTCTCCACAGGGACCCTGGGTTTAAGAAGCCCCTGCAGATCCATGGCAGATCTCGATTTGTGTCCTTCACTTTGTTCAAGCGCTTTGTGATCTCGCCGAGGCGGTTGCGAAATCTTGCCGGAAAGGCCTTTGGGGGGTTTAGGGCAGTTCAGGGTTTAAGGTTTAGGATCTAGGGTCTAGGGTTTAGGCACTACCTTTGCGGCAAAAAGTGACAATAAACCCATAGCATCCTTTGCTATCCCATATTGACATCTTGCAGATCTTCTGGTCCCTATATACACTATAACCCCTCCAGTTTCCATTCCATTTTCCATTCAATTTGATGTTCCATTATTGGGATATTTTCCCAGAACCCCACACCCTACAAAACCCCCATGTATCCTTATATAAGCCTACGTAGATGAGCCCGGATAGCCCTTACAGAACTCCCATAAACCCTAAAGCTTAGGAGGACCCCCCACCCGGTAAGAGGAATATAAGAGGACCCTAATATAATCCCTATTCTCCCCTATAGTCACTATTACAGGGTGGGGGGTCCTCCTGACACATACCAACATATAACTCCCATAAACCCTAAAGCCTTAATTCCAGTTCGCTGCTTCAGTGTCCTGGCAGGTTCTGCTGGAGACCAAGCTCGGAATCTTTCCTGCAACAGACCTAGGGTTTTGGGTTTTTGGGTCTAGGGTATAGGTTTAGGGTTTAGGGTTTAAGGGTTTAGGGTTTAGGGTTTTAGGGTATAGGGTTTTAGGTTTTAGGGTTTTAGGGTTTTAGGGTTTAGGGTTTAGGGTTTTTTGGGTTTTGGGGTTTGGGGTTTGGGGTTAAGGGTGGGGGTTGGGGTCTAGGGTTTCGGGTTCTGGGTCCAGAGTGTTGATGGTTAGAGGAAACATCCGGGGAGTTAGATACAAGAGAAAAATGGGAGGGATTAGGTGAGGCCTCCAAAGCACGCACTCTAGACTGTCGTATGCTCCATGGTAAGTCGTCTAGATGACTGTATGACATGCTGGGACTCCAGGCTCATCAGACCCTCAACCACAATCTCAATCCACACTCCATTTCCACACCAATGCACTCAGCTTGAGCCACGTTGTTGGCATAGTCCTATGGTTAAGACGCAATCGTCATGTGCATCCAGAACATCCTTGCAGGGGCCATGCTAATCTTCTCAAGTACCAACACTCCTCCTCTTCGGAGTCGGCTGGCCAGGCTTCGAAGTCACCCTTGCATGCCCCTGTATCAAAACTGTACATGCAACACCAGTGCCATACGCTACGCCACTCAAGAGGACAAACACAGCTTGCGTGGGCACATGCCTCTTGCGGTGGGCCCCGACCACCTTGCCTCCTGCGGCCTTTCTTCTTTCGAGGCTAAGAGACTTTTTGGTCCCTGTGGACACGAGTGGTCTGGCACATCGGATGCTGCATCATACTACTCACGCAAAAGGTTGGCCTCGTACTAATCGGTGGACATTCCAAAGGCCATTCAGGACCTACTTTCGGCCGCAACCAAAACTAGGTCACATGCAAACAAATTTGCCATGCGCGACCATGTCGCAGCTCCAAAAGACTACACTCGAACGTCCGTACAGCTTCGCACACAGAAATCCAGTGTAATTCGGCCCCAAGTAATCCCCAGCACCACTGTTGATGGACGCATTGATTACATGATTGGTACGTAGTGCAAACGTGTCAAGACTCTCCCTCATCGAAATCACTTCATCCAACTGCTCTCATCCCAATCTCAGCAGCTC